CATCTATATCTTCTTTGGTGAGGTGTCTGTTCAGATGTTTTGCTTGTTTTTATTTATTTTATTATTTTTTTTGCTCATTTTAAACTTGGGTTGTTTGTTTTCTTATTGTTGAGTTTTGAGAGTTCTTTGTATTTTCTCCAAGTCTATGACTTTCTTCTCCTTCTACTGATGTGACGAGAGTAAGGTTGTAGGACGCAAAGTTAATAATACAAAAGTCTTCCTAAATACCAGCAATGAACAAATGAAATTGAAAATTTTGAATGCAACATTTATATTAGCACTCCAAAATGTGAAATATTCAGGTATAAATGTAACAAAATAAGTACAAGAACTATATGAGGGAAACAAAACAAGTTCTACATGGCATCTTCTTCCAATATAAAGCTGTTTTATCTACACTGAAAACATGTTATTTAGCATAGCCACCTTCATTAATGATCTTAGTCAAATCTTTTGGATAACTTGTTACGTCACCTTCACTTTTATGTTATGGAGATGTCTTTCCTTAGACCTCATGAACCACCTTCTACCAGTTTTATGCTTCCTCTGCAGCTTCCTCACCTCTCTTGTCCTTCACAGAATTAATAAGAGTTAGGGCCTTGCTCTGGATTAGGCTTTTGCTTAAGGAAATGTTGTGATTGATTTGATCTTCTATCCAGACCACTCAGATTTTCTCCATATCAGCCATAAGGCTGTTTCTCTTTCTTACCATTTATGTGTTCACAGGAGTAGCACTTTTAATTTCATCTAAGAACTTTTTCTTTGTATTCACAACTTGACTGGCACAAGAGGCCTAGCTTTCCATATATTTCAGCTTCTGACATACCTTTCTCACTAAGCTTAATCATTTCTAGCTTTTGGTTTAATGTGAGAGACGTGCAACTCTTTCCTTCACTTGAACACTTAGAAGCCATTATGAGGTTATTACCTGACCTAATTGCTTTTTTCTTTCTTTTCTTTTCTTTTCTTTTCTTCTCTCTCTCTCTCTCTCTCTCTCTCTCTCTCTCTCTCTCTGTGTGTGTGTGTGTGTGTGTGTGTGTGTGTGTGTGTGTGTGGCCAGGGTTTTGCTGTGTTGCCCAGAGCAAATATGTAGCCTCAAATTCCTGGGCCCAGGTGATCCTCCTACTTGGGCCTCCCAAGTATCTAGGACTACAGGTATGCACCACCATGCCTGGCTAGTTTTTGTTTTTGTAGAGACAAAGTCTCTCTATATTGTCCAGGATGATTTCAAATTCCTGGCCTCAAGTAATCCTCCTGCCTTGGCCTCCCAAAGTGCTGGGATTACAGGTGTGAGCTACCACACTTGGTCCAACTGGCCTGATTTCAATATTGTTTTGTTCTCAGAGAATAGGGATGTCTGGCCTGTCAATGGAACAGTCAGAGGACATACAACTTATGTGTGTGTGTGGTTTCAATTTTTTTTTTAAATTTTAGGACATACAACATTTATTGATTAAGTTTGCTGTCTTATATGGGCACAGTTTGTGGCACCCAAAACAACTACAATGGTAACATCAGAGATCACAGATCACCATAACAGAGACAATAATAATGAAAAAGTTTGGAAGGTTGCAAGAATTACCAACATGTGGCACAGAGACACAAAGTGAGCACATGCTGTTGGAAAAATGGCACTGATAGACTTGCTCAACACAGGACTGCCACAAATCTTCACTTAATAAAAAACACCATATCTAAGAAGCACAGCAAAGTGAAGCACAATAAAATGAGGTTTGCCCTGTTTACCATGTCTTTCATCTTCTACTTGCCACCTACTTAAAAGTTTCTGGGGCAGATGCAGTGACTCATGCCTATAATCACAACACTTTGGGAAGCTGAGGCAAGAGGAATGTTTGAGCCCAAGAATTCAAGACCAACCTAAGCAACATAGAGAGAACTTGTCTCTACAAAAGATTACAAAGTTAGCCAGGCATGTTGGCACATGCCTGTGGTCCCAGCTATTTAGGAGGCTGAGGCAGAAGGATCGCCTGAGCCCAGGAGGTGGGAGGCTGCGGTGAGCCATCATCATGCCACTGCACTCCAGCCTGGGTTGACAGAACAAGACCCCCACTCCCCCAAAAAAGTTTCCGCTGAGAAGTGGTTCAGCTGTTATTTCTTCATAGATTGTTGCTATTGTTTGAATGTTTTTGTCCCCTCCAAAATTTATGTTAAAACTTAACCCCTAGTGCAACAGAATTAAGAGTTAGGGTCTTTAGGAGGTGATTAGGGATTAGCACTTTGAAAAATGGGCTCAAGGGGTGAGGCTTGGTGGCTCAGCCTGTAATCCCAGCACTTTGGGAGGCCGAGGTGAGGGGATTGCCTGAGTCTGCAGGTTTGAGACCAACTCAGGCAACTTGGCAAGAACTTGTCTCTACAGGAAATCAAAAAAATTAGTTGGGTGTGGTAGCGCGTGCCTGTAGTTCCAGCTACTTGAAAGGCTGAGATGGAAGGATCACCAGAGCCCAGCAGGTCGACACTGGGGTAACCATAAGTATGCCACTGCACTCCAGCCTGGGTGACAGAGTGAGACTCCAGAAAAAAAAGCCTCAAGGAAGTGAGTTTGACCCTTTTTGCTGTACTGTTCCTTATGCCCTGTGAGGACAAAACATTCAAGGTGCCATCTAGAAGCAGAGACTGGGGCTTTCACCAAATATTGAACCTGCTGGTTCCTTGATCTTATATTCCCAGTCTCCAGAACTATGAGGACATAGATTTCTGTTCTTTATAAATTACTATCCCAGGTATTTTGTTATAGCAGCACAAATGGACTGAGACAATTACCCTTTTTTCCTTGTTGCTTTTATAAGATTTTCTCTTTGTGGTATTTTTTCTATATCTTTCTGATGTTTCTGGGTACAGATTTCGCTCTTTCATTTGCTTCCTGAATATGAGGTGTTCCATCTTTCATCGACTCAGAACATTCGTAGCTAGTATCTCTTCAGATATTGCCCGTTTCCTCCCCATTCTCTGTTCCATCCTTTTAGGCTGCCTGTTAAACTTGTTCATTCCAGACCTTTTATTTTCTCTGTTGACCTGTTTCACTTTTTCCATCTTTTTAACTCTGCTGCATTTTATAATTTAAAATCTCTCTTGACCACTATTTTTCTCTTCATTTGTATCTAATGTGCTTTTTCTTTTTCCTATTTCTACCTGTTCTATTTGGTAATTTTCAAATTAATTTTTTTAATCTTTATTGGTAGCATATTGTTCCTTCTGTTTTATTCCTTCTTTTATGATTTTGATGACTTTTATGACATTGAAATGTACTTACTTTATGGTCTCTAACCAATAATCTTAACTTTGGTTCTTATTGATATAAACCTGCTCCGTTCAGTCATGCTAAAAGATTGGTCTTCATGTGTTTTGTAATTTGTAATTATAAGCTCAGGTCAGCTGGACTTTCATCTGTGGGAATCCTGTACTTCAGCAGAGAGAGTATCTCCTTCCAGAGTACTTTTATTTACTCAGCTAGGTTTCCCAAGGATATTACTAGGCTGAGACCATTTTATGTTTCTTAGCAAGAGCGGATTGGACCCAGACCATGCAGGTAGTGTAAATTTGAACTCTGAACTCATGGAGAGAGAAGGTCCAAGATTATCAATCCTCTAGGGATAATTCTCCTTTTGCCTTCTAATAGAGCCCAGGTCCTGCTAACTCCCTAAGTCAGTGAGGTGATTTTTTCCCCACTAGTCTCCCCGAAGCTGTGGTTCTCCAATGGTCCTTGGTCCTAGGGACTGGAGCCTCATTTTCAACTGATCACCTTTATTGGGCTCAAATCCTTTGTCTTTTATACCTGCATGACTGTTAGAGCCCAGGCTCCTTGGTTCTAGAGATCTGTAAAACCCTATTAGGTCAGCTGAGTGGGGGTTAAGCTTATTGTTTTGCTTCTCCCTTCGTCTTCTTTTCCTCTGCTTTTAGTTGGAATGTCTCTTACTTTCTGTGTGATCAACTATACATTTAAAATGAGTGTTATGTTTTATTCAGTATTTTTAGGTTTTTACAGAGTAAGAGATTTTCCAGGTCATCTAGTTTGCCATACTGATTGAAACGGAAATCTGTTGTCTGCTTTTTAATTTTATATAACGTATTGTTCATGAAGGGTGTTTTTCCCTTGTGTTAAATTATTTAAAATACACTTATCCACTTTATTTCAAAATTGAAAATCACACACAAAACTAAAGTTTACTTTGACTTTCCCCTTTCTCCCTTTCCTTGGGCTAACGTATGATATGTTTGGTGTATATCCCCATTGAAATGGTTTTCAAAGAAACAAACCAGTTGTCACGTCAACCTGAATATCTGGGGGCATTTCTGTTTCAATGCCAAAGGATCAGTTTTGTAGAAGCTGCCTGTTGGCTAGTCAGGGCCAAGTCAAACCTGGATTTCGCTCACAAATATGCTTTTGGGAGAAGAAATACTGAAAACAGATGTGGGAAGATTACTTTAGTGTATTATAAAGCTCACCATTTAAGTAGCAAGGCAGATGGATTAATTTACATCACTTTTAAGTCACAAAAGTTCATGAGAGATAACTTTTAAAAATAATATTAGAGGTGTTTAGTGCTTTGTTATGAGTTTTCCACAACACTGGGAAGAAATATGGTAGTCATCATTACACCCATTTTACAACTAAGTCAAATCGAGGCTCAGTTTATTTAATGACTTGTAGAAAAGTTAATGACTCTCCTGATATTATGCAGGTGACAAATGGTAAAGATCTTATTATACCCTGCCATGAGAATCAAGGCCATCTTCTGCATCTTTTTGCTGTGCTGCCTTTGGTGACTTTCTTTATTAGGGTGGGACTTGGTGTCAACTCAATATCAGCCATGAAAAGCCAGTGTTTTCTTGTACATTTATTCAGTTTATTCATTCAACATATTTGAGCACTGCTATCTTCTAGGTACAAGGATTCCAGATAAGAGCTCTTTTTACAACCAGGAGCTAAAGTGCAGATTTTAGATTTGCTGACTGACACTCTCTCTACTTTCCTTCTGTAGACTGATAATGGTTTCCAGTTGCCAAAGAAGGTTGTGGTTGCCAAGAGAAAGGTAGCCATTTCTCATCTCCTCGAGTGGAATTGGATGCCTCTAGGAGCTCATACTGGCTGGCAGTAGACATGGCTGAATTTACAAGCTACAAGGATACTGCCTCCAGCCGCCACTTGCGGTTTAAGTTACAGAGTCTAAGCCGCCGCCTTGATGAGTTGGAGGAGGCCACAAAAAACCTCCAGAAAGCAGAGGATGAGCTTCTGGATCTCCAGGACAAGGTGATTCAGGCAGAAGGCAGCAATTCCGGCATGTTGGCAGAGATTGAAGTGCTGCGCCAGCGGGTGCTGAGAATTGAAGGCAAAGATGAGGAAATTAAGAGAGCAGAGGATCTGTGTCATCTGATGAAACAGAAGCTTGAAGAGGAGGAAAACCTCACCCAGGAGCTGAAATCTGAGATCGAGCGGCTTCAGAAACGAATGGCTGAATTAGAGAAGCTGGAGGAGGCCTTTGGCAAGAGCAAGAATGACTGCACCCAGCTGTGTCTGAGCCTGAATGAGGAGAGAAATCTCACCAAGAAAATCTCTTCTGAACTGGAAATGCTCAGAGTCAAAGTGAAAGAACTGGAATCTTCTGAGGACCGCCTGGATAAAACTGAGCAGAGTTTAGCCTCAGAGTTAGAAAAGCTGAAATCATTAACTCTGAGCTTTGTAAGTGAGAGAAAATACTTGAATGAAAAGGAGAAAGAAAATGAGAAATTGATAAAAGAACTCACTCAAAAACTGGAGCAAAACAAAAAAATGAACCGAGATTATACACGGAATGCTTCTAATCTGGAAAGAAATGACCTACGAATTGAGGATGGTATCTCTTCCACGCTACCATCCAAAGAATCAAGAAGGAAGGGCACTCTGGACTATCTAAAGCAGGTAGAAAACGAAACAAGAAACAAGTCAGAAAACGAAAAGAACCGAAATCAGGAAGACAACAAAGTCAAAGACCTTAACCAAGAGATTGACAAACTTAAGACACAAATCAAACATTTTGAATCTTTGGAAGAAGAGCTTAAGAAAATGAGGGCCAAAAATAATGACCTTCAGGATAATTACCTAAGTGAACAAAATAAAAACAAACTCTTAGCCAGCCAGCTGGAGGAGATAAAACTACAAATCAAGAAACAGAAAGAATTAGAAAACGGAGAGGTAGAAGGGGAAGATGCTCTCCTGTGCAGCAAAGGCAGACATGAGAGGACTAAGTTTAGAGGCCATGGGAGTGAGGCATCCGTGTTCAAGCACACATCCCGGGAACTGTCGCCTCAGCATAAGCGGGAAAGGCTCCGAAACAGGGAGTTTGCTGTCGGCAATGAAAACTATCCTCCTAGCAACAGGCAGGTTGCCTCGCCCAGTTTCACCAGTAGGAGGGCTGCAAAAGCTTCCAACATGGGGGCAAGTACAGACTGTGGGACTGAGGAGACAAAGAAAACTGAAGACCGATTTGCACCTGGATCCTCTCAGAGTGAAGGGAAGAAGTCCAGGGAGCAGCCGTCAGTGCTTAGTCGCTATCCCCCAGCTGCTCAGGAGCACAGTAAAGCCTGGAAGGGGATGCCCAAGCCAGGCACAGAGAGTGGACTGAAGGGAAAAGTTGAGAAGACAACACGAACATTTAGTGACACCACTCATGGATCTGTTCCCAATGACACATTGGGTAAAACTGACAAGGCTTCTGACACCTTGTCTGAGGCTGTCTTTGGCAAGAGGGGACAGCTGCCTGGCAATGGAAGTCAAATAACTCTGGCTGCAGATACTGGCTGTTCTAAGACCACTGGAGCTCTGGCCTCATCTCGGAGATCCTCGTCAGAAGGGCTCTCTAAAGGCAAAAAGGCTGCCAATGGCTTGGAGGCAGATATCAGTTCCCCAAATTCCAAGGCTCCTATCTTATCAAAGTATCCTTATAACTCTAGAAGCCAAGAGAACATCCTTCAGGGCTTTTCAGTCTCAAATAAAGAAGGAGTTGACCAGCCTGTAGCAGTTGTGATGGAAGACAGCAGTCAACATGAAGCTTTGAGGTGTCGAGTCCTCAAATCCAGTGGCAGAGAGAAGCCAGACTCAGATGATGACTTGGACATAGCATCTCTTGTTACTGCCAAGTTGGTAAACACAACCATCACTCCAGAGCCAGAGCCCAGACTCCAGCCTAACTCTAGAGAAAAGGCCAAATCCCGAGCGGGACCTAGAACCTCCCTATTTGAGAATGATAAAGGTGCTGGAATAGAAAACGAGTCTATGAAGTCTGTCAGAGCGTCTACCAATGCTGTGGAACTCCCAGAAGTCAATGGTGCTGGCGTAAAAAGCCAAAGGCCCTTTAGCCCCAGAGAGGCCTTGCGGTCTAGAGCCATCATCAAACCTGTTATTATTGATAAGGATGTGAAAAAAATCATGGGAGGATCTGGAACAGAGGCTGTGTTGGAGAAACAGAAACCTACCTCCAAACCAGGACCAAGCAAAGTGACAAGCAGCATTACTATCTATCCTTCGGACAATAGCAGCCCTAGAGCGACCCCAGGTGAGGCCCTGAGGGAGAGGCACACGTCCACCAGCAACATCCAGGTTGGGCCACCAGAGCTTGTGTCAGTTGGCAACCATGTCAGCTCCCCTTTTGAGCTCTCTATTAACAAACATGACATCACCCTGCAGCTCGCAGAAGCCGAGAGAGTGGGAGATGGGCCCCCAAAGAACAGGCCGGAAACAGTGGTCTCTCGGAGCAGCATTATAATCAAGCCGTCAGACCCTGTGGAGAGGAATAGCCATGCACCCCCAGCGGAGACAATCAGGTGGAAAAGCCATAGTGCCCCCTCAGAAGCAAGCTCCTCAGAAGCCAGGCATGTTACTGTGCGGAATGCCTGGAAGAGCAGGCGAGACTTGAAATCTTTAGAAGACCCCCCAGCTCGAGTAGGTAAAAATATGGAAATTGCCAATGCCTATACCCAGAGGTCTTCCACGGACTTCTCAGAACTTGAACAGCCCAGGTCCTACCTTTCTGAGCATGGTACTCGAAGGGCAGGACCAAGTTCAGAGGATGCCCCTGAGCTCTCCTCCAGAAGGACCCAAAGTAGCCTCACCGTGTCAGAGATGCTCAGCCGTCGGAGTCGGATAGGAGACACTGTCACTGCTGCAGCGTGGAACCACTCAGTGGGCATGGTGAGTCCCATTTCTTTTCCTCTGTCCCCTCTCCCTTCTCTTTCCGTTCCTCCTCTGCCCTGGCCTGTGACCCAGGATTTTGGAAATAGTGGGGCTGGGAAACATTGAGGAGAACTGGGTAGCTCAGAGAACTGTTGAAAATCAGGTGGGTCTGACTGGTGACAGTAGGGAGCCCAGTGCCTCCTGTAGATGACAGAGATAGGAGCCAGCCTCAACAAGGTCCTGGCTGCCTTAGACAGCAGACCTTCACAATTGGCATGTAGAGCTAAGCGTTGAACCCGGGATTCCTATCTCTAAATCCAGTGCTCCTACTACCCTGCTAGACCTTTCCTATTCATATTTGCATTATTCTTTGATCTGCATTTGCTTGGGAGGACCAAGGAGAACATTAAAAAGTTAGAATTCCAGAAGAGGAATGGGGAGAGATGGCTATTGAGGCCCCAGAAGCTTAGGACATCTGCGAGGGGAGATGTAAGATGAGGGACAGTCACGGGATATAAACAGGAAAGCATGTGAACTTTTTTGTAGTTTATACATGGGAAGTAGAAAAAGAGCTGCCCGACCTTTTCAGCATACTTGCCTGCACCAAGAAAATGGATCATGTAACCTGCTGGCCCCTATTTAGGGGTCCCACTCCCGTGTGCCCATTCCAGACCTTGTCCTCTGTATGGCTCCTCTTCAGTTGTGCCTACCTTGGATGATTCTAGCAGCTCGGAGTTCCCAGTCTACCCTGATTTCTAAGGAACGTCTCTATTGACCTGTACTCAGGCAGAAGCAGTCTTTGCAGTTACTCTGTAGTCTGTCGGGGCTGTATCTGCCTCTGCCAGGTGGGAGGATACACAGGGATAGCAGGTGAAGGTGTCTTGTTCACTTTACTGTCCTCCACAGCTCACGCTTGTTATTTGTTGGTACAGGAGGAAGACTGTACACTCAGTGTCTCCAAGCGACTGCACAATTCCCTGGAACGGTCTGAACTGCCTGTGAAGCAGGGCCTACCAGAGCCTGGGCGAGCACGGGCCGAGGAACGATTGCGGCCAACCAGACCCTGTGCTGAGGAAAACTGAGCCGGCTGGATGAGGTCTGCTGTCTCCCCTGCTCCTACTTCTCCACTCTTCCACCTTCCTGCCCTATGAAGGATCCAAGGCCAGTTAACCAGGCTAGACACAAGGCCTTGGCTGGGAGACCGTGGTAGAGCCGGGCTGTGGCTCAGGTAATTTTTGCCAGTTGGCCAGAGGGAATCAGAGACTACGAGCTGGACAGTCATCTGGGTCCAGTTTTCCCTGATGCATGAGTCCTCTCGCTCTCTCCCCCTCCCTCCTCCTCCTTGTCCCTGTTCCCCAGGTAGTACGGACCACTCTGGCCCCCAAATGGGGGAAGCTATAGAAACCCCCCACCACACAGTAGCAGTCAGAAGCTCTACTTTGCTCCCTGGTGGGTTGTTTCTGTATCATAGAGCAGCCTCTTGTTCATGTGGCTGATGTTCTGATTTCTCGGTCTCCTCACCACATTCAGTTCACTCTGCTTGCCCCAAGGGCTCACGTACCCACTGAGACTTAACAGCCATCACCTCCATGTGGGGGGCTTCCACTTCCTACCCCTCGGAGCTCTCCTCAGACTTTTAGAGCTGAAAGAAGTCTGTGCTGCCTCTAAGGGATTATTACCCTTTAGGTTGAAGTTTGTCTGACCTGGCCCCTGGCTGACCAGTGTTCCTGGGGGCAGAGCATGCAGATACCCATACGGATACCCATCGGAATGACACCATCCCTCCCAACCCCTCTGCTCACCTTTCAAAGGCACCCAGAAGTGCACAAGTCTCATGCGTCTCCTTCCCTGGGCACCAGTAATGCTGCTGGCATCGCCTCCTCTCTCCGTGGCTAGAGACTTCAGACTGACTTCATCGTTTCCACCTTGGGGAAATCCCTAGACTAAGCTGGGCCTGACCCAGCGTACTCTGCCTTCTAGGAAGTGCCCAGCAAGGGGGAAAGCAGACCAGAAGTGACTTCCCTTGAGTCAGTCCACAAGCAATAGCTCCATGGAAGGCACAGACTGTGAGATACTCCCTCTGTTCCTCCTCCATCCCCTATGGAGGAGGCATCGCACTTTACCAAGCTGATGCATTCCTACAGAGTGGGCCCATGATTTCTGCAAGTCGACTATCATTATGACTTCATTGGGGGAAAGGTGATACCCATTGAGGGCCTCAGGTTTATACGACTCAGAAATGCAGCAAACCTTTCGGGAAGCCACACAAAGAAAATCAGTAGTTTTCTTACACCAATCACATGGGGAAGTTAAAAAAAGAATTGTATATTTCTGGCACTGCTTTTTTTTTTTTTAATACCATTCTCAATTCAAAGGGATCCCCTCTCAAAGGCTACCTTTATGAAGCAGATGCTATTGCCTTCATAGCAAGAGACCATTTAGATTAGGAGCCTGGAAAGCCTACATTTTCCCCCATGGCTTTGGGTGAGTCATTGTCCTTTAGGTGCCTCAGTTTCTCTATCTGTAAAATGAGTTCTTTGAAATGGACGATCTTTAAGGGCCCAAAGTCTGGTATTGAGAGTCTTTTTGTTGCCATCTAGGATGGAAAGAGTCTTGCTTTTAGAAGGTATTAGCCACATGGGTTTGGGGAATGTCTTCCTTCTTGCCCACAACTGTTTTTCTGGGCCTTATGTTTTCTAGTTTCCCATGTTTTAATCTCATGGAAGGGGGATGAGCTCAAAGCAGCTCCCTAAGCTTGTTTTCCACTATACGAAGCAATGAGGTTGGAGGGTCTCTGGAGCCCTTTGTGGCATCAACCTTACCCAATGTCACACAGATCTCCTGGCTTTTCAGGGTGTTTCCCAACACACAATTCTGTGTTACCGCCTGTGAATTTCCTGGCAAGAGGAAGACTCAGGGCTTCCTCAAGAAAAAGTTGAGTTGTCTTCTCTGCTTCCATTCAGCTTGGAAACCAGCGTTCATCCCACCTTTGTCTGCATCAGACTCGGCAGTCCTGAGGCGGCTTGGGGACTGCTCCCTTACCTTCAGGGACAGGAATGTATTGCATACTTTTATTTTCTAGAGTTTTGCCAATCTAAGGGCACTGTCATGTGGCTTGCCTTTCCTCTGCACATGCCCACCTCAGATGCTCAACTCAAGATGCTGTTTTTAAGCTCTCTTCCTGCTGCTTCTCTTGGGTAACTGGCCAGAAACTAGCTCACTCAAGGCTGCAATCCCTTACTTACAGCCTCCCTGCCATTCTTCTTCACTGGTTGGCAACCCTGAGTTTTCAAAGGAAATCAACCTCTGTGGTGGTCAACTGAGGGCATAGGATATCAAGTTGATGGCTCTTCTCTGCTGGTGAAAACAGAAAGGTGCCAAGCCATGCCTAAAAAGATCTCGCCAATAATTCTCGTCTTTGGGTGTTGGAGCCCTGGATTCTGGTGCTGTAGCTCCTGGTGCCAAAGTCTGGATCTTTCCACATTGCCGCAGCACCAACATCTGCCGCTAACTCAGAATGCTCTGTGGAAGAAGGACAGCTGTGGTGCCCTTGTGGGGGCTGCCTTGAAATCTGAGTGCAATAGGGTTTGATTGTAACAGTTATTTCAGGATAAGTATTTTGTTTCTTTACTCTGCACACTTTCTAGAGCCGCTGTAAAATAGATTTTATTTTTAAATATCCTCAGCATTGCAGAAAATAACATTGTAATAGCAAGTCAAGGCTGGAGGTGTAGTTCCTCTGGGCTTCGAATGGCTGGCTCAGCTGGTGCTCATATTCCAAAGTTGGAAGGCACATTCTGAAAAGCAACTGTTTGGACCCAGGCCTCACCGTCAGGGGTCCCAGAGGAAGCCTCCAAATAGAGGGGAGACCTGGTAGTTGAATAGTTGTTTAATCAAGCCAAATATTCCCACTGCCCCAGTCAGCAAACCCACTTTTAAGAAAAGCCTCTTCTGCAGCTTGGCTTTTTTACCAGCAGGTACATGATTGCTGGAGGGTTGCTAGTGAGTTGGGGACTGGACACTAGAGCTGCTTGGTTGAGGAAGTGGAGCTGGTAAGTGCCAGGAGATGGTCTCTTCTACCTGCTGCTGCCTGTCTCCCACCACTCTGATACTAAACCAACCAGAGAAAGCTGTAGGTAGACAAAGAAGCTGTGGCTGTTTTTTGCTTTTGAGTGGCAACAAAACAGTTGTTAGTGTGGGTTAAAGGGATCCGCAGTGGGACCAAGACTCCAACCTCAGCTGCAGGCAAGCTTGCACATAAGTCGTCCCCTTCTCATGGAGTGCTGGGGTGGGGTGGGAATGGGGTATCTATAGTGTTCTTAGACTTGTGGTCCTGGGGCAGTTTTATTTCTTTAGAGGGTCAGTGCCAAGTGCTACCACTTCCCAGGAAAGGAACAGGGATCCAGAGGCTGGGTCCTTGGCTGCCTTTGTTGGTATGGAGTTTTTGTTACTCTGACAAGACTGCTTTGGAAGAGCTGCTTTTAGGGATTATCTTTTGACTACCCCAAGTGGGGAACAGGGTTCTCAAAGCCTCACAACCAAGATCATAGGAAAGGAGCCCTATTTTCCTGCTGCTTCACAGCTCAGAACATATACTGAATGGAATGTATTTTTAAGAGAAAAAAAAGTCTATTTTTTTGTATTTTAAGGATTGGGAGGGCAAGGAAGGTGGCCCTCATATAAACTCTTATTGCATTATAGGCCCCTTTACTGGGGCGTCAGTCTGTCGGTCCACACCTACTTGCTTAGGCAGGTGCTCTGGTCTCACTCCTGCCCCCTTGGAGTCTAGGTGCAGCAGCTTCTAAATTCCTGCTCCAAGCATGGGACCAAGAAGGCCAGAACCTGTCGCTGGAAACCAGGGCAAAGCCATGAGCAGTGGCTCAGGGCTCCTTGGGTGCATGTGTATAGTTGAAGCTGCCTGTCTGCATGTATCCTCTGGCTCTAATGCTCTCTGTGGCTCTACAGCACAGTATGTAACCAATAAAGCTCCCTAGTTTCCATATCTTCTGTGTGAGTCAGTGGTGCCAATCCTGTTGATGTCATCTCTGCATATAGCTAGCTGTTCTCTAGTACAGCTGGCATATTTCATTGTATTTTACTTAAAATAACCTAATTCCTGATGCTGTAATGACTAGAACATTAATCAAGCCTGGACATGCCTAGGACCCACATAAATGAACTAGAATCAGCAGCTATTTCATGTATTACTATTGCCATAGGGTAAAACTGGCATTTCCAAAGGAGTAAACTGCTGTCTTGTATGCAACTCTAACCCAAAGGGGAAACGAGAGGACTGCTTTTATATGAAGTTTTATTCTCAAAATATATAAAAAAAAAAAACCATCACATACCAAGAGACTAATGTGTTATTTCACAGCACTTGCCTCAGTCTTTATGAAGAACAATTTCAAACTAATGGACAAGTTCCTCCCTGTGTTCTATGTTGCTTGAAGAAGGCAAGCTCCTTTGCCAAATCAGGAGCTCCATCAGCCAATCCTAAGCCCAGATGTCAGGGTGGGAGCTTCTCAGTAGAATCTGGTATTGCTAGAAGAGTCTTGCTTACACAGCAAAAGACACCCACGTGGGCCCCTTCCCTCAGAATGTTTCTGTCTCACATGCTCGGGGACTGCTGTGCAGGGACACCTGGTGTGGCCTGGCGAGGAAGGGTATACATGGCCCCCAAGAACTGGTCTGCAATCCTTCCCGCTTCTCGCAGCCCACTCAGCAGAGCACCATGGACTGTGGCTGGGTAGTTACGAATCGTATGTTCTCCCGCAAAGAAGAGTCGTGGAATTGGCTATTTCAGGAAACGGAGAAAATCAACAGGTTGCACATATACCATTATTCTTCTTGTATCTGAACTGCCATATTCCTGTTGTCCTTTGAAGGCTGACACCCCAATTTACTATTCATCATTCTACCCAAGAAGCCCCTTAGCAATAGCAGGCGTTTCCCTCAAATTGACAAGTAGAAATGGGACAATAACTCAGCCCAGCCTCAAGTCTAGAGTGATGCTTAACAACAGCATTTAGGCCGGGCTCCGTGACTCAGCCTGTAATCCCAGCACTTTGGGAGGCCGAGGCAAGGGGACTGCCTAAGCCCACAGGTTCAAGACTAGCCTGGGCAACTTGGCAAGACCTCATCTCTACAATACATCCAACATTAGTCAGGTGTGGGAGTGCATGCCTGTAGTTCCAGCTACTTGGAAAGCTGAGGAGGAAGGATCGCCGCACCCCAGCAGGTTGACACTGGGGTGGCCGTGAGTGTGCCATTGCACTCCAGCCTGGGTGACAGTGAGAGTCCACCTCAAAAAAACAAAACCAAAAAACAGCATTTGTTCTTATTGATCAGGAACACTCACCTTTCAGCTCTGAGCAAGTCTGGGCTATGACCCTGAGGAAGCTCATTGCTCTCTGGAGCAGGATCTGGCATAAGGGACCCAAGGGTATTTCTCAGGGGCATGCCCTGGCAGCCCTGAAACTCCTAGTGGTTGAGACCTTACAATAATCCTATGAACCACTACAAAACAGAAGTGAAATTTAAAATGGTTTTGTGTCTTAGGGGAGGACACTGAATAAGGAAAAAAGTTAATGATTTATTTCCTCCTCTATTTTGAATGCAGACTGCCTAGATTTACAAAGCCAAATCAAGAGAAATCCCTTTTACTCTGCTCTTGACTATTATTATTATTTTGAGTCAGGGTTTCACTTTGTTGCCAAGACCAGAAGTGTAGTGGCACAAAATAATGGCTCACCACAGCCTCTACCTCCTGGGCTCAGACAATTCTTCCACCTCAACCTCCCGAGTAGCGGGACTACAGGCGTGCACCACCATGTGCAGCTTTTCTTCTTCTTTTTTTGTAGACACGGTCTTGCTGTGTTGCCTAGGCTGGTCTCCAACTCCTGGGGGCTCAAGTGATCCTCCCACTTTAGCCTTCCTAAGCCCAGATACAGCCTGCCAGTTTCTCACCTGTGGTGCACCTGGAATTGAGGGGCCGGGAGTGATTGGTTGAGCCATTAAGTCATAGTCATTTCCAGATGACCCTGCAGCTACATAGGAATAGGAGCCCCGGGCCCAGGGATCAGCGCGCCAACGAGACACCACAGTTTCCTTGGGCTAAGGAGAAACCACAAGCAAAAGTCATTATGGAACACCAAGGACAAATCAATCCTTGAAAGGTGCAAAAGCAGTGGTGGGTGGGGGTACAAGTGAGAGGGAGGTAAAAGACTTGAGGCCAAGTGGTGACTACTTTGCTTTAAGATTCACTGAGGCAAAATGATTTCAGACAGCAAGGACGTCTCTGTATTGCCCTCTTACCTATGAATCCAGAGGTCTATACAGGACTTGACACTTCTCTTTTATAAATTCACATGAAGCATTAATATACTTCCCTTCAAAGGAATCCTAAGGGGTTAAAGCATTTCAACAGGCCTAAAGGACAGAAAAAAGTACCAAGAAGTTCTCTTAAGACTTCCCTGAGATCTTCACTGGAGTCTGGCCACTTTGTTTAAAAGGCAGGGATGTGGTGTGACTTCGCAGGCAGAGGAGAAATGCAGCCAACAGTCTTCAGCTTCCCTAGTTCACATACGGCGAGGGGGGACCCTAAACCAGATGCTTGGGGCATGAACTCCAAATACTAATATTTACGTAACCCAGCACACACTTCTTGATTCTGGCTGAAGCCATCCTGGTTTAGTCTGAGCCCCCAGATACCCACTTACCTGGGGCACTGCACTGCTACCAAAAATCCCTTTGAGAATGGCCAGGCATCGACCAACAATCACGTCATCGCTTATATTTTCCATGATACCAGCAGCTTCTCCTGCCACCAGTGCCAACAGTATTGGAGCTGGGGAAACAGAAAGGAAAATTCCAGGGTTTTCCAACAGACTATTCTCAAGAACCTCCTCATCAGGCCCATCTTATTCTTGGTGCTCTGAAATTGGATGACAAGACATGCCACACTACTCGACGGGTTGTCTCTGAAACAGCAAATGGAGCTCCAGCCTAGAAACTGTACAGAAAGGGGCTGGCTGACTAGTGAGTGAAGTGTGACTCACAGGCACTTCACTGTTAAATTTGCAGAATGCAGCAGTCCCAAAGACGTTTCAGACCTTGCTAAAAAAAAAAACTAAAAGCCATCCCTATATTTCAGCACAAGTTCTTGGCCCTGACCACCTCAGAGTGCTCTGTGACAACGGCTTGCATCCCTGTTAGCTATTGCAGGCTCCTCCAAGCCCATAACTGCCTTCAGTCACTCAAATGCTGAAGATTCATGCAGCAGACGCGTGTGACAGGCACGGTACTAGATGATAGGGACACAAAAGATAAAAGGTAGATTATATACTCCATTAGAGTGATAGAAAAGCTATAACGAAAAACACAGGATACAGGGAAAAGAATAGAGGGACTTAATTTAGATTCAGGTCGGTGGGGTATGTGTGTCCTTTCAGCAATATGGACATTTAGGTCAGGACCTGAAGACCGTGTAGAGTAAGCCAGGTTGGGAAGGGAGAGAAGAAAATTCGGCCAGGCCCAGTCCACAGTACATAATGGAGCCCTGAAGTGCATTCCAGGATTCGAGAGCAGACAAGTGTGCCTGGAGCCGGAAGTGGGGAGGACTGAGGATGAGCAAGGAAGTAAGGATGGACTAGACATATTATGAGGAGCCTTCACAAGGGCCAAGGTCAGGCATTTTGACATTTTCTTTCAGCAGTGGAAGGCTACCGACAGCAGAACAGGAATATCAGTAGGAGCTACCGTTAACTGTCCAGGTGAGAGGGAAGAGTATGCCCTGGACAGGGAGGTGGGCAGTGGGAAAGAGAAGTAAATAGGTCTGAGACTATGAGGCTGACACCAACGGGACTTGATGACCTGGAGATGGGGGAGGGAAAGACACCTGGCTGTTGTCAGAAAGCAGTGTGGTCAGGGCACAAAGCGCCCTCTGGAGGTAGAGGCCCTGGGAGTGTGACTGACGGTTCACCTTCAAGCAGTGAGGCGGACAGGAAGAACTGGGGGTGGGCCAAGCCGGTTAGCCAAGGTGCCGACTGTCACACCCTGCCTCTTGGTACTGCTGTGCTGCGGGATGTCCTACTGTTTTATATCCTCTTCTTGGAATAAGAGAGCACATGAATAGACTTTTAAGTCTTCACACTGTATGTGTTAAGAATAGTTCAACTACAGAAGAAAATAACTGAGCGCCAGGGTAGGAGTTTGATAAATTCTGAGGAAAGTGATCACGATCAAAGAACTGGGCAAGCCAGTCTAAGATACTAAAGTCTTAGAATGAGGAATGCAAGTTTCCCCTTCTAGGATGCCTCCCTGGGTTTGAGCTGATTTTTTTTTCAGTAACCTGGGCTTCCAGCCTGTTCTGGAGCTGCCTGCCTCCTTGTTGTACCCCACTCAGTTGTGAGCTCCTTAAGGGCAGGTGCTTTTTCCCCATATCCCCAGTACCGAGAAGTGATTCCAGGAATTGTTTGCTGAGTTAATAAAAAAGAGAAACCGAGGCATATATATTTGAGAAAACTAAAAATATTCTTAGTTCTTGATTCCCATAAGGATATGGAAAAGGTTAAAACTCGAAGGCATTACCTTTATAGAGGTTCCAGAAGAGAAAGAGCTCACCCCTGCTGGCGGTGGTGCTGCCAACATGCCCGAATAAATTGACACTTGGATCCCAGAACACCCGGTCAAAACACAACACCACCTATCGCAAGAAAGGAACACAGGAGCTGGTGACTGAGGCCAGATAACATGGCTCTAAGCATAGCTAGCCTCAACAGGAAGTACTTCTTCCTCTGACTTTAATCAGCTTTCAATATACACCCAGAAATTCCTATTAAAATGCATTACTTAGGTTGACATTTATGACCCCATAAGATCTAAGTGTCCGAATGGACAGATACTTTATAATCAGGCACTGAAGGGAATGAATCAGCAGGCCTCAGCCCTGTTATCACAGTTGAGAGCACAGTCAAATGTACAAAAATGCCAACCAACTCCC